ATCTTTTAACAATAAAAGAATTCATCAAGAAGGAGTCTTCTCCCCTACTTACTTTTCCCCAAAGAAATTTTATTTATGTATTTATTCTATCACATAGCAGCATGTCACCAAGAAATACAAAGATCGCAGAGAAAAGTCATCATTTGCTGTTTCTTCTTTTGCCTTTTAAGATTACCTAAAAATAAACAACTGGTGTCTCTTGCATGTAACTTGGCATCCTTCTGCGACCTGACTAACATCTGTTGAACAACTGGCAGAAAGAGAAAAATAATCTATCCCCTTTTCCTCAATTACATAAAAGCAGTAAGTAATCACTGAAAAGGATTCTGTTTCTGGTGTGACTGGCACTCATGAAGACTTCGTAAGCCAATAGCACAACCAGATGTTTTCCTTAGCAAGAGGTAGGGATTGCAAGAGATATTTTTTCTCTCTGTAACTTTCCAGCAAGCATTCATTGAGCAATTACTATGAGTCAAACATCATACTAGATGCTGGACAGACCAAAAAAAGGAAAAAAAAGTTCACCCCTCTTTTTAGGAGCTTCCTTTCAAGGGAAAGGGATTGACTGGTAAGCAATTACCTTGGAAGATTATCAGAGGTATAACAGATGTAGGGTTAAGTCCTATGTGGAAGCTTCTACTCTGGTCTGAAGCGGTCGTTTAAAGGGCCCTTGAAGGATAAATAGGACTTCCCAGGGGAAGAGAAGGTTTGGGTGGAAAGGGCATTTCAAGCAGTACAAACAGCACGTGCAAAAGTCCAAAGCTTCAGTGCAAACTTTTGGCACCACCAAGTAGGGGTGAGGGGAGTGGAAACAGAGTCAATAAGCTGGAAAGGTAAATTACAGCCAAGTAGTGAAGAGTTTCTTTTGCCATAAAAGGAAGTTTAGGACTTATGTAAAGGGGCTGCACAGTGAACCTATAGCAATCTCCTTTAGTTAAAAAAGAAAATACCTTAAAGTCCAACTCTCAAACAATTAGTATATTCTAATGTCAGTATTCATTTATAATTCTCCTAAAAGAAAAGATTCTAGATATTTAGTCCAATGCTCAAACAATTACTATATTCTAAGATTACTATTCCGTTATACTGCTCCTAAAAGGAAAGATTCTAGATACTTGGCTCTTCTCTAATAATTACTTCAAAAGTGAGTGATTCAAATTTTGAGAATAAATCAAATTATCTGTGATCTTAATTCATATGATCACATTACAGTTGAATTAGTAGGAAAAAAATACTGTGAGAAAGCATAATATTAACTGTCAGTTATATATTTGCCATTTGGGGACTTATATATTTCTCATGCTCAGCTTCAATTTTAAGTTTTAATAAAATCTTCTGTTCTTCCAGGTACTTAAAAATATATAATGGAGATTTCTGAAGCAGACCAACTAGAATTAAGTATGGATAGCAATACATGGCCATTTTTTCCCATGGCCCTCAAAACCAGGAGCTTCCACTATTGCAAGTTTATCCGAATCCAATCATGATGCTGGAAAACAATCACTTCTAGTCAAAATCCTAAAATTTAAGCATTGCAAAAGATACTGTTAAGATAATGAGAGGGGATAAGGGGATGGGAGAAATAGGTGAAAGAGATTAAGAGTTACAAACTTCCAGTTATAAAATAAGTAAGTCAGAGAGATGAAAAGTACAGCATAGGAAATATAGTCAATAGTATTGTAATAAATTTGTACGGTGACAGATGATAACTAGACCTATAGTGACCAACATTGCATAATATATAAAAATATAGAATCTTGTGTACCTGAAACTAAAATATAATATCATATGGCAAATATAATTTAATATAAGGAAAACGCATGTGACTTTAATGCCTAAAAAATAATTAAAAGACCATTCACAGACTGTGAGAAAATATTTGTGAAAGACCTATGTGATAAAGGAGCATTATCCAAAATATACAATGAACTCTTCAAGCTCAACAGTAAGAAAAATAAACAACCTGATTTTAAAATAGGTAAAAGATTTGAACAGACACCCCCACAAAGAAGATCTACAGATGACAAATAAACATATGAAAAGATGGTAAACATAATGTGTCACTAGGGAACTACAAATTAAAATCACAATGAGATACCACCACACACAGATCAGAAAGGCCAAAATCCAAAACCCTGACACCACCAAATGCTGAAGAAGATGTGGGGCAACATCTCCAAACACTCTTTCATCCCCAGTGGGAGTGCAGAATGGCACAGCCACTTTGGAAGAAAGTTTGGCAGTTTCCTGGAAAGCTAAAACAGTCCTACCATGCAGTCAAATGCCTAGATATTTGCCCAGTTGAGTTGAAAACATAGCCATACACACAAAACCTGCACATGAATGATTATAGCAACTTTATTCATATTATCCAAAACTGGAGGCAACCAAGATGTCCTTCAGTAGATCAGTAAACAAACTGTATATCCTTACACCGGAATATTATTTAGCAATAAAAAGAAGTGAGCCATCTACCCATAAAAAGACATGGAGGAACCATAAATGCATATTGCTAAGTGAAAGAAGCCGGTCTGAAAAGGCTACATACTGTATGATTCTAATCATATGATGTTCTGGGAAAGGCAAAACTCTAGGGGCAGGAAAAAGATCCTGTTTTTCTCTTTATCTTTTCAGATAGGTTAGGAAGGAGGAAGGGGTGAATAGGTAGAACACCTGGAGTTGAAGGAACTACTGTGTGTGATACCATAATGGTGGATACATTGCATGAGGTTTTAGTTAATAGATAGTTAATTAATTATAATCTATCAGTATTGACTCATGAATTGTAACGTACGTTCATGCAACATGATAACAATAGAGGAAGCTGTGGGGGTAGTCATGCAGTTCTCTAGGCTATCTGCTTATTCTTCTGTAAATCTGAAATGGTTCTTAAACAATAAAGTCTACTGAGTTTTTTGAAAAGGCAACAGAAACTGAAAGAAGGATACAATTTAGGAAAAATTATTTTTAGCTCCAAAAAACTTACTCTAGGATAGAATTTAGCCTAAAAGTAGTTTGAACTACCTACAGGCCCCCAACCACCACACAGGAACTGAGAGAACACAGCAAAGAAGGTCTTAGACCTCTGTGCCCAGTGCCAAAGGTGACTCCTACCTACATGCTGGTAACCCTACTATCCTAGTTTTCTATGACTGTGTAACAAATTATCACAGACTTAGTGACTGAAACCACACACATTTATTGTGTTACAGTTTCCGTGGGTCAGGGATTCAGCCCTGGCATAGGTGTACCCTCTGTTCAGGGTCTCACAGGCTACAATTAAGATGTCAGCTGAGCTACATTTCATCTGAAATATTGATGGAAAGAATCTGCCTCCAAGCTCGTGCAGGTTGTTGGCAGAGTTTATTCCTGCGGTGTATGACTGACAGCCCTGGCTTTTGGCTGGAGACCACTCCCAGGTCCTAGAGGGTACCCCACACTTGCTTGTTGTGGCTTGCTTACTCCATCAAGCCAGCAGGAGAATCTCTTTGCAGTCTGCCAAGGAGGAGGAATCAGAGTTATGCAGCACAACATAATAGCAGGAGTGACTATTCCTTCTTGTTTGTCATATTCCATTGGCTAGAGACAAGCCACAGGTCCCACACACACTCAGAAAAGGGGATTGCACAGAGATGTGGCCACCAGGAGATGCGGGCTCCCTAGAGATGTGGCCACCAGGAGATGCGGGCTCCCTGGAAGTCCCTTAGGGTCTGTCTGCCACATAGACCAACTGAAGGACTAGAAGTACAGGAGCACAACCAAAACGCACAACACTCTGAATTCACAGCCCTGCAGAGAAACTTGAGATCTATGGAAAATAACATTCAGCCCACTGGCTAAAGTTTTTCTGAATGAGTGGGATTATCTGTCAGTGTGTTTGTATCCCCAGGTTTTACTGAAGCATAATGAATATGCAAAATCTGCAGGTGTTTGTACTTCCAAGCTGAACCACAGGCTTATTTTTATTCTTTTCACTGAAAGACAATAATAACATCAAACACATATATATCTCCTATTATGTGTCAGACACTGTTCTATGGCTCAATTAGGCACTGTTTGAGAAACATTTTTATCATCCCCACTTCACAAAAATGAACGGAAGCACAGAACAGCCACAGAGCTAGTAAGTGACGGGCTACCTGCCTCTTCTTTACTTTTGGGTGATGTGACATAGTGAAGTAAAAAATGAAAGAAACTCTCTGAAAGATTATAATATTTGAAAAGAAAAAAAAAGTTATCAGAAAATTATTGTTTTATCACATTTAAAGCCCCCTCTCCCCAGTACAACTCTTTACCATCTGGTTCATTCACAGATTTTAATGAATGCTACTAGATCAAATTTTAGAGTGCCATAGTCCATCTGCTATATCTGGGGCTGTGGAAATATAACTTTTGCATTCTGCTAGTCAATAGCTACGACGTATTGTTCAATTCCTATCTCTAATCTGCAAGTCGTGATCATTGAGGTCTCTGTGGTGACAGATCTAATTTTATAAAGAGAGATATTGGGCACACATATTCAGATATGTATATAGTAAATTTCTGACATGTGAACTTATTAAGTATGTGGCACTGTAAGGCCTTGTACTAAAATGGAGATGTGTTGGGGGGAATTAAAATGAATATGGATGCTGTCTGCCCCTTAGGAGTTTACAATCCAGTTGGAGAGGAAGGCGTACAACAAAGATAATAAAACAATGAAATAAACAGTACTAATCGAGGAATAAGCGATATGGTATGGGAACACAGAGGAAGCAGAGATGGGCATTTCAGAATGAGTCAGACGTCAAATTGCTACCAGTCCTTACCTAAATGCAACTTTCTCTGTAATCTGAAAATGTCAGCTTTTAGAAGCTCTGCTGTCAGTTTAGGGAACAAGGGAGAAAGCACTAGAGAAGCCATGAGAACCCAGAGAACCGATTGCTTGGAGGGATACCAACCACAGTCAGGCAGAAGGGCCAGGCACAGAACAGTCCTTCCATCGGATTTGTTTTCCTTACCTGCACAGAAGATTCTTTGAGAGACTGACACCAAGAGACCTCCTCCTTCCTGTTGAAAACTGAGAAGAAGGAAAGGAGATGAGAATTTCAAGAGGAAAAAAAAAATCAGCCAGAGTTCACAAAGTTTTCAGTTTAATATATAATAACCACAAAAGGTTCAGACCTCTGGGATAAATTTTATGCTTGTTATAATAGTTAAGACTATCACATGTATCTCAATTCAAAGAAATAATTAATTTCCAAATATACTTTGTCCCTCAAAAATGCAGTACTCACTTACAGCAGTGCTTAATGTGTGTAAGAAATTCCTGGAAATGTTGTTACAATGCAGATTCTGATGCAGGTTATCTGGGGTTGGGAGATACTGCGTTTCTAACAAGCTCCCAGGAGATGCCAGCATTGCCAATTCGTGGCCCACACTTTGAGAGGCAGGACTTAAACAAAAACCTTAGGTATATATTACATGTAAAACCTGTTCATTATAAAAGTGCAGTTGTGGTCCAGATTGCAGACTACAGAACAGATTAGGACAAGGGGAAGAATTTCGAAAGTAGGCCTTAATTAGCGACTTATCATAAAGACTGTATTTTGCTCTACTGAATGACATAAACTATTTTTATATGATATAAAGCATTCTTCAAGAAATATGTGCGCTTTTGTGTTCAGCTGGGTGGCATATTTCAAAGAATTATTTCATTTTAATTGTATCTTGGCTTGTTTGAACCTTCACAGTTAGTCCTTTAATAGTAAAAATTTCTAGTTCTTAATTTGAATTAGAGCAGATCCAAATTTTGAGGAATGTGAATCTTAAAAAAATTTGGAGAACTCTTAAGGAGAAAGAATATCACATTAAGAATACAAGATTAGGTACCAAAGTGAGTATTTATTTAGAAAAAAATGGTCAGTCCCACCCCAGAGTCACTGATCAGAGGAGACGTGCCATGGAGGGAGCATCAGAACAGACGGAGAAGGTGGGCAAACTACTGTTCATGCACTTATGCTCCCTGGGCCTTCGATGGGCCTGAAGCTAAAGCTTTCATAGCTTTTCACGGTACATTTGACCCTGGTTTTAATTCAACTGCTGATTAGCTGGAATATGTCTATTTATAATTTTTAACATAGACAGATCGATCATAAAATCATAAATCTAAAAGATTTAAGTAATTAAAAGAGAAAAATTCAATTCCTCCCCCCAAATATACACAGAAACACAAAGAAATTGAATCCAAACTATAACCATTAATCTTTTTTAAAAAATTAGCCGGAGTTTTTTAAAGGTATATTTTGCTTATCACAGGCAGCCTCTGACTTAGAAATGGTTCCTCTTTGGAAAGCCAGCCGGTGAGCATTCAGAACAGTACACCTGTCACATGAGTTTCTCAGAGAAGCCCACAAAATGTCTGTTTATTCCACAACATGTATTCCATAATAATATGGATATAAAATCTATGTGAACAACTTTCAGATATCATAATGTATGAGAATCTGCTCTGGGATATCAGAATGTTTCTAGCGAGATACGGGACTTCCCGGGCCCCAGAGACCTCCCAGGCCGCACGTTCACTGAAAAGAGGGGATCGCAACCCCTCCAGCCCCACATCCATGGGAGCAGCGACCCCAGACGAAGGCAGGGAGGAGAGTGGAGTAAAGGCTAAGGGGGTGAGGACTTCTCACACCTTCCCTGGAATGCCCTCAGTCCAAGGTGGTTCCCCAGGGCCCCTTCTCTGCCTAAGACAGTCCCAGAATGTCCTCTATCTCTTTCTCTCTTGACATCTGCTACTTCCAGCCTGGGCTTCCCACCCTCCACTTCTATGGCCAATGAGAGACAAGACGTGTTATCCCAGCCTTTCTCTTTTCTGCCCATTCCCAGCAGAATAGCAATCTTTGCAATTTTCCAATGTGGTAGTGCCAGAACTTGCAGAGGAAAAGGACTGAAAGGGAAAGGTTCTTTCCCATGCACAGAGACCCTGGGTAATGTATATTAAAAGAAGAGTAAGGTTCTTGGGTTTTTTCTTATTTTATGAGAAACGTAGCTGTTGCAGGTATATAGAATCAGAAAAGTCAAGATCAGGTGCTAGGATGGGCATGAATCAGAGTCCTAGAGTTTGAGCAGAAGGGAGGAATGGGTAGGTTGGATTGTGAGAGCCACTAAGGATACTAAGCCTGGGGTGGGCTAGACAGCAAAGGAGAGAAGGGGACACGGGGGCCCCTTTCCCTAGCTCTTATCCTCCAGCTGGTTCTACCACCTGAGACGCTCTGGAGATCCTGTGGCCCAGCATGAGAGAGATGTGGGCCACGGGGGACAAGAGCAGGGTGACAGGCAGCCCCTCAGGGTGTCAACAGGAGGATTAGAAACGGAGAACAGCCAAAGCAGGGGAGAGAAAAGAGGGTTTTGTGCAACCACCTAATGAACGAGGCTTTCACCAGGGGCTGGTCCCACTTCAGGAATACAGATGGCAATTGTATAGAAGGTCACATCAGACAGGGTTGGAGCAAGAAATTTGGGAGGATAGTCTCCTACTCCTTTGCTGGAGGTTCAGAATGCCCATAAATATTTCTTTTTCCCGATGAAGTATGATACCTTTGAAATCTTTATCTTCTTTCCTGACTCAATCCCCTGGTGCTTGGAACAAAAACATTACTGACTTCCACAAACAGAGTTACCCAGTCAAATAGTTCTTGACTCCTAGTCAGAGCTGAATTTGAGGAAAACCGTTACCAAGGGGAAGCGTGTCCAAACAGCCTAACAAGCAAGGTGTGCTTATTTTATAAAGAGCCCCAAGTGGGAAGCCCAGGGAAAATGAAATGCTCACGGCCTCTAGAATTCACACTCCATATGCCCTTCCTGGTCCAACACTTTTGTTTAATTTCCTATGCACTCTCTCATTTTAATTAGGGGAAAGTAATTTCTCAACTCTCATTGAAAGATAAATGTGATGTATGTCCCAGAACTACAGTTGGGTTGACAAAGTTCTCATTTATTGCAGGCTACTTATTTGTGTAACCAGTAAGTCACATAGTCTAGGTATCCCTGTCGCTGCCACCACGTTCCCTTCACAGCACATATGGATAGATAATGTAAGTACACTTCTGAAACCTAAGGCTCTTTGGGCTTCATGGTGAAGACCACTTATTTTTCATTTTGTGGTCCTGCCACCTCCACACACAGGCACACCCTACACAACCCTGCAAATTGGAAGGTTAGCTGATTGTCCCCAGGCCATTTGTCTCTGAATAAAATCAAATATGATCTTCATATCCTCAGGCAATGCCAGCCTGGGTGTAAACTGAGATTAGTCTAACTCTGCCCTGACCTATTTAAATATGACCTGCAGTCTCTTCATCCCTCCAAACTTCTCTGGGAGTCCTTGGAAGATATACTACATATGATACCAAACACAGCCCCCTTCAGTAGAACTTTGAATCTACCCTTTTCCTCTCCCAGGCCCACCTTCCTGCACTAATGTCCACTAGCAGAGTCTCCAGGCCCATCAAGTACAATGAAAGTGCCTCATCACTCTAGGAATACTGGGAAGGACCATAGTGCCAAACCACACCTGAGATTCACGTTGCCTGCACCGTGACAACTTGGCACCATTTGTGCAGCAACACTGGGATTCATTCTGAGAGTCTAGGAACCTTCCTGAGAAGATGTATTATTGCCCTTACTTCTGGTGCCAGCGTGGTGATCCTGTGTCCCCCTGAGCCAAAGTCACCCGTTCCACAGGGACCTTAGTAACCACGGTATTCGAGGCACAGGCTGTGCCTTCTTTCCCCATCTCAGTATCTCCCACAGGTACGTCAAGGGGCTCCAGGCAGCACTCCCTCTGGTTCCCCAGGTCTCAAGTTCCTTCTGCTTTTTCCAAGTATCCATCTTTGCAGGGCTCAAGCATAGATTCATGGCAAGCAGCAGCCTGAAGACCACTTGAACTAGAGACAGTGCTTCAATTGTTCATTTATTTGTTCATTTGACACTTATCAAGAGCCTGCTATCTGCCCAGCCCAGTTCTGGGTGCGGGATTTCCAATGATGACCAGTACAAGCCCCTGCCTCCAGAGTTTAAATCTTGTAAACAATGAAGGTGGTGTGAAGAATGTCAGGATCAAGGAGGACGAGACACACGTGAGAGCCCAGCACAGTGACTAAAAACAGGGCTCTGCCACCAGATTCTCTTAAGGCTACATTTCTGGCTCCATCATCCACTAGCTATGTGGCCCAGATAATTTGCTATCTCGTTGCACCTCAGTTTTCTCATCTGAAAAACTGTATTGACATCTAGGCTATTAGAAGTCCTGGGTAGGATAAACATGCATAAGAATGAAAATTCTCCTATTAACTTTGTTATGTGACTTTAGCTAATTCATGTTCCTTAGAAGTGTATACAGTTTTAATTGCTATTGTAAACACACTGATAAGTAATTATTAATATGTAACTTACAAATGTCTGATTATCTTGAGTTTCAGGACAACATGAAAACCAAGCATACACCAAGTATTATAAAACAAGCATAAAAGCCATGACTTTATTTGAGAAGTGATTAGAAATTCAGGGAAAAAAAACATTCTCATTAAAAATAATAATACATGCCTCCCAGGAAAGCTTAATACAAAGAGAATATAATGTCAGCCCTCATATTTCTATATGGTAATAAGGGACCTGATAGTCTGAGATGGTAGGTGAGGAATAATTCAACCTGATCTTTTTGTTTTATGCATATTGACACAACTGTTTGATTATCTGCTTTTTTTTGGCTGTCCAGACAGCCAAAGTAGTATTGGCCAAACCTATGGGCTCTATGAAGACAAAGTAATTATAACCCCTAAAACTGTAGAAATACATGTTTTAGATCAACTCATTTATTCCACACCAATAATTTATTATGTTTGTATGTGTGCACATGTAAGTTTGCCATGACAAGATGATGCTTAGTAATGAATTTGCCAGCATAGCTTTATGTAACGTAATCCAGCCATCCTAAATGCACCACATTTAATAAAAGAAAGTGCTTAAACAGAACTCTGTTCTGTAAAGCCATTTGGTGTAGTAGTGAAACATCAG